CTGAGCTCTTGCCACATCAGCCTGGTAGAGGTGTCCAAAAGTTCTGTCCATCCACTCTTCCTGTTCAGGAAGTTAAGGATTCCACCATAAAATAATTCTAGGTTATCTAGGCCCTAAACCCAATAGTGAAATCCTTAAAAGAGACAATGCAGCCAGGAAGAGCAACACACCCCTGTGATCCCAGTGACTCAGGAGGCAGAGGCAGGAGGATTGCAAGTTCAAGATCAGCCCAGGCCACTTAGTGAGACTCTTGTCTCAAAATAAAAAATCAAAAGGTCCTGGGATGTAGCTCAGCAGTAAGGGATCCTTACAATGAGGAAACTGCACAGGCCCGGCCCCATTTGTTCACTTATTGAAGACAGACTGTGTGTCCACCTGTGCCCGGTGAGGGGCTCTGTATGTTCTGGGGAGAAGCAAAAGTAAATCATCACCAGACTGTGTGACAAGTGTGTGGGTGGCAAAAGTGGCACAGGAAAGAGGGCTTCTTCCAGGTGAGAGGGGGAGATTCACAGAAGGCTTGGAAGGGGAGGGAAGTGATGTTTCCTGGGCTTCCTATGTGGTAGCCACAAACCACAGGTGGCTTTTAAATGTTAATCAAAATTGAATTTCATTAAAAATTCAGTTCCTGTGAGCCCCATTTCAAGAGCTCAGTAGCTACCTGTATACGGTGGTCCCTTGCTATCTATAGGAATTGATTCCAGGACCTGCCTCCCCTCATACCAAAATCTTGTTAGACTCTAAAGTCTCTGATATAAGATGACTTAGCCAGATGGGGTGACCCAACCTGCAATTCCAGCAACTCAGGCGACTTAGGCAGCAGGACCACAAGTTCCAGGCCAGTCTGGGCAGTACAGGGAGACCCTGTCTCAAAATAAAAAATGTAAATGTAGCCCAGTACTAAAGCACTCCTGGGTTCAAGCCCCAGTACTATAAACAAAAATAAAAACAAAAACAAACAAACAAAAAAGGCTCAATGTTTGCATATAACCTATGCAATATACTCTCCCCCCTCCCCCCAGAACTGGGGATTGAACACAGAGGCACTTTAACTGAGCTATATCCCCAGCCTAGCCTTTTTTTTTTTTTTTTTTTTGAAACAGGGTCTCACTAAATTGCCCAGGTTAGCCTTGAATTTGCAAGCCACCTGACTTAGCCTCTCAAATAGCTGAGATTACCCTAGTGAGCCACTGTGTCCAACCTCTTCTATACTTTAAATCATCTCTAGATGACTTACAGTAACTAATACAATATAAATATTATGCAAATAGTTGCTATTCTGCATTATTTAGGGAATAATGACAAGAAAAATGTCTGTTCCAGTTCAGCACAAACCCAATTTTTAGGGGGCTGTTGTACTGGGGATTGAACTCAGGGGCACTTGACCACTGTATTTTGTATTTTATTTAGAGACAAGATCTCACTGAGTTACTTAGCACCTTGCTTTTACTGAGGCTGCCTTTGAACTCACGATCCTCCTACCTCAGCTTCCAGAGCTGCTGGGATTACAGGCATGTGCCTGGCCACAATTTTTTTTTTTTTTTATATTTTTGGTCCACATGATCGAATCCTCAGATGTGGAACCCACACTATGGAAGGAAGACTGTATTCTAGAACATTTTCAACTTTATAGAAAGTTCTATCAGAAGGTGCTGGTCTAGGCTTTGGCCTCCTAGTGCCTCACATATGCCTTACCACTGAGCCACAACCCCAGCCCTTCTGTTTGCATTTTATATGGATAACTTCACAGAAATGGTGTGTGCTACACATACTGCTTTGTGAGTGTCAGACTGTCTCCTGTGTCACAGAGCCCTTCAGTGGTAAGGCCTATTACAGCCAGCCCTGCATCAATCTTCCCTTCAATGACTGTGGACTGTTCTAGATTTGTGTGTGTGGCAAAATCTACATAATATGAAATTTACAATTTTAACTACTAAGTAGTTAATTCAGTGACATTAAGTGCATTCACATGGATTTGTTGTTTGTTGTGCTGGAGGTTGAACCCAGGGGTACTGAAATACATTCCCTGTCTTTAAAAAAAAAAAAAAAATTGAGATAGGGTCTCACTAAGTTGTAGAGGCTATCCTTAAATTTGCCATCCTCCTGCCTCAACCTCCCAGTCACTGGGTTATAGGCACACACCACCACATCCAGCTAAACATGCTTTCTTTTTTTTCTTTTTCTTTTTTAATACTGGAGATTGAACCCCAGAGGTGCTCTACCACTGAGCCACATCCCCAGCCTTTTTTATTTTTTGAGACAGGGTCTTACTAAATATCCAAAGCTGTCCTCCAACTTGCGATCCTCCTGCCTCAGCCTTCCAAGTCCTGGGTTTACAAATATATGTGTACCATGCCTGGCTTGATTTCCATTCCCGAATTACAGGAGTTCTTCGTATCTTCTGCATGGTTTGCCAATATGATTTCCACTACAGAGGTTGCCTTTTTTGCTCTGCTGACAGTGTCCTTTGGTGATGAAAAGTTTTAATTTTTTTTTTTTTTTTTGGTTCCAGGGATTGAACCCAGGGGTGCCTAACCACCGAGCCACATCCCACCTCCCTAATTTGCTGAGGCTGGCTTTGAATTCATGATCCTTCTGCCTTAGCCTCCAGAGTCACTGGGATTACAAGCATGTGCCACTGCACTCGGCCAAATTTTTAATTTGGATGAAGCCCAGTTTACCTATTTTTTTTCTTTTATTGCCTGTGCTTTTGGTGTCATATCTAAGAAATCAATGCCAAATCCAACTACATGGAGTTTTCCTCCTGAGTGTTCTTCTGAGAGTTGTGTGCTTGTGGCTTTTCCGTGGAGGCCTTAGATCTATTTGAGTTCATTTTTGGATTGATTTAATCTGAAACATGAAGGAGAGGATGTGGAGTATCCTCTGGAGCATGTGGTCCTCCAATAGCTGTCCCACCTTCCGTAGCCCCTGGGGTAGAATCAGCGCAATCTGTATATGAAAAACCACTAGACTTCCAGAGAAAGAGAAACTGCTCTCAGTCATTTGCCTTCCAGCTAATTCTAAAGAGAGAGGCAAGTTATTTGACAAGTCAGGATGTGGAAAAGAAAGCAGTTACTGTTAGTCATGTGGGGAAAGGGAAGAACTTGCATTTAGAAGAACCACTGCCCCTTCTGATAACACAGAATGAGGAGGACTTGCCATGGGAGCTGGGGCAGGACAGGTCTGATGCCCTGGGTTCCATCCCCAAGCACTGAAAAAATAATATTTGCCATTTGGTGAAATTTCCAGGCTGAGCACCTGAAGGTCTGCAGTGTTACTCACCTGGACTCTTCTTGAGTGTGACAGCCTACAGTGGTTACTACCCCAATAGTTAACTCCTCAGAGAACCCCAAAGTTCATGGAGGGAAGGTAGCTGTTAGGAGCTCTCAGAAAGCTCATCCAGGTCCCTATTCTAGGCCCCTCTTGCCAAAAGCATGGGACTTGTCTTCAAGAAGTTCATGGCTGGCCTGGGTGGTGCACAACTGTCATCCCAGCAGCTCTGGAGGCTGAGAGTAGGATTGCAAGTTCAAAGCACGAGTTCAAGCAAAAGCGAGGTGCTAAGCGACTCAGTGAGACCCTGTTTCTAAATAAAATACAAAATAGGGCTGGGATGTGACTCAGTGGTTGAGTGCCCCTGAGTTCAATCCTCTGTACCAGAAATTAAAAAAAAAAATGAAGAAGAAGAAGAAGAAGAAGCTCATGAATGAGTGGGGAACTAAGTGTAGCAAATGTTTGGTGAGCACAAAGGCCTTTGTGTGTCAATCTGAGGAATGTGACTTTCAACCTAGAACAGAGGTGACAGACCCAAAAGCCAATAGAGACCAGGAATGTAAATTAAGGGGGGGCCAAGCAGATCTAAGGTAATGGGGAGTGGTGAGGACAGTGGCAAACTGCAGAACTCATGCTCTCAGAGGGCAGCTACTCTTGGCTCCAGCTGGTTGACACCAGGTGGGATCATTGGTCCACTGTGGCAGATCTTCCAATTTTCTAAAAGGCAGAAATCCAGGCTTCCATAGGACAATCCTAGGTTTTCTAAACACACGGGCCAAGCCAAACTGGTGTTTGCACCCTGTGTGGCCCACAGGCCACTCATCTGCTGCCTTGACAGATACAGGAGAAGGATTAGAGAGAATAGGCTACAGGAAGAGGAACCAGCCAGGAAAGTCAAAGTTTCCAAGTCCAGGTGGGAGGAAGCTCTTGGTATTCAGTTGCAAAATGTAGCTCTCTGCTAACCTCTGGAAGAAGCTGCTTGCATTCTTCCAATGTACCCTCCAATCCCACACCCACCCCCTTTCCTAAATGGGGAGCAGAAAGGCACAGGGCAGAGAGATAATCCCTAAAGTCAAAGGGCAGGAAATTTCGGCAAAGACTCCAGTTTCTCAGCGCAGTCTAATTTTACCCAAGATGATTTTAGAGATAGATCCTTGACCAATTCCCCCAGTCCCCGTCCTCCCACACCCACAGGCTCAGCAATAATTAAAATAAAAAAAGTTCATATCGTGGCATTTGGCTCTTCTGAGCGACCAAGCTCAGAGCCAAGTCTGGCTCCAAGAGGCGTCTCCTGGAGACAGACATGGAAGTGGGCTTCAGGTCCATTTCATGGTCTTGCTGGTTGTGCAACTGGTCACTTGGCTTCACAGAAGCAAGCAAAGGGTAGGGAGGTGGGGAGGAAGGGGAGGGAGAGTGACCCCCTCCAAAGAATTTTTCTAACACCCAACAAATGTCATATGTTTAGACCTTTTTTTCCTGTATAGACCCTCCCAATTTTTGAGTGCTGTTTTTGGGAGTGGGCACAGGAAGTGCCTCTGAGCAGCTACAGAGCAGAGCCTCCCTTCTCTGGCATGGCCTGGAGTGTCCCATGGGATGGAGGAGAGGACGGGGCAGTCAGGCAAAGGTTAGGGGAGGAAAGCAATGGCAAAGGCTCAGACTGACTCCAGGAAATGTTTGTATTTCTCCACCAGGAGGGAGGATAAACAAGCGTGTCCCTGCCTTCTGGGCCAGTACTGTGAGCTCTCCAGGACAGAGTGAGTCGCAGGAGAGAGAGGAAGCCGAGTATGAAAATTCTTCTGGGGCTGCACTCAGCAACTCCTCTGCAGCGCGAATCTCATGGGACCCTCTGGCCACTTCCCACCTACAAGATATCGCGTGCATCTCGGAGTCTGGCCGAGCTACAGGCTTTACCTCTCTGGAAGACAAGCGGCTTGTAACCCCAGCTTCTTAGAAAGGACCTCCCTGTGGCTTTCGTTTCCTGGCTGATTTCTCCTCCGGGTGTGGTAGCCCCATCTACCCCTGGGTGCCGTGACTGATTGTCAAGGTGATGAGGTTGAAGGCACAGCCACTGGGTCAGTGGTAGCACACAGATAAGCACCTGTTCCTTGGTGGGGACTCCAGGGGCCACTGGGCACCCCGGACACCTGTCCTCCCTGCAGTATGGACAACAGGTCATGCTGCCTCCTTGAGGGGGACCTCATCTCTCAGTTGATGCCACCCCTGCTCATACTGGCCTTCGTGCTTGGCGCCCTGGGCAATGGGATTGCTCTGTGTGGTTTCTGCTTCCACACGAAGACCTGGAAGCCGAGCACCATTTATCTTTTCAACTTGGCCGTGGCTGATTTCCTCCTCATGATCTGCCTACCCTTCCGGACAGACTACTACCTCAGAGACAGAAACTGGGCCTTTCAGGATCTTTCCTGTCGCCTGGTGCTGTTCATGCTGGCCATGAACAGAGCCGGGAGCATCGTCTTCCTGACAGTGGTGGCCGTGGACAGGTATTTCAAAGTGGTCCACCCCCACCATATGGTGAACACCATCTCGAACCGGACTGCAGCTGGCACCGTCTGCGTCCTTTGGACCTTGGTCATCTTGGGAACTCTGCATCTTTTGATGGAGAGCCACCTGTGTCTACAGAAGAATGCCACGTCTTGTGAGAGCTTTATCATGGAGTCGGCGAACGGCTGGCACGACATCATGTTCCAACTGGAGTTCTTCCTGCCTCTGGGCCTCATCGGGTTCTGTTCCTTCAAGGTGATCTGGAGCCTGAAGCAGCGGCAGCAGCTGGCCAGACAGGCTCGGATGAGAAAGGCTATCCGCTTCATCATGGTGGTGGCTGCTGTCTTTGTCACTTGCTATTTGCCTAGCGTCCTGGCCAGACTGTATTTCGTCTGGACGTTGCCCTCCAGTGCCTGCAACGCATCTGTCCATGTGGCCCTCCACTTCACCCTCAGCTTCACCTACATGAACAGCATGCTGGACCCCCTGGTGTATTATTTTTCAAGCCCCTCATTTCCCAAATTCTATACCAAGCTTAAAATCCATCATTTGAGACCCAAGCAGCCAGGACCCTCAAAGTCACAGAGGATGGAGGAGATGCCAACTTCTGACCTCTGTCGTAAGAGTTGCGGCAGCGTGACAAATAGTGTCCAAAGCCAGCCAGATGTTCAGGGGGACCTCCAAGTGTGTTGAATGGCACTAAAACAAACAGGTCAGCAATGTCAAGGAGGTTAGATGGCCACTTTGAGTTAATTCATGCTCAGGGGTGGGGGACCTTGAAAATGCTACCACCCCTTCTTAGCTGTATCTTTTTTACTCTGTTGGAAGTGAAACCCACGTTCCTCTACCTTGGGGAAGGTTCCAGTAGGTGGAAGTGAGTGTGTTGCGTTTGTGTAATCTGATTACAGTGATAGGGGACAGGATGGGCATGTGTGTTGGTTAGGAATTGCTCAGCTCCTGTGTAATTTTAAACGGATGAGGATACAGGTATGAATCATTACTGGGTCATGTTCTTGCTCTGGGGGGAAGTTATTGAACTTAATGATATATTGCTATTTCCTATTCTTTGACCTTAAACCCTTACTTATTTTGAAAAAAAAGGAACTGAACTGAGTCAATAAATAAAATAAAAGGAACTGAACTTCTATTTTAGGCTGAGAGAGGCTCTTTAAATCAGGATGTCTTGGTTCTGATGATTTTCATCTCCTTTTGGGCCCCTCTGTATATTTCTTTGTCAATGTCTTGACTTCCAGGTAGTCCAAGAAGGTGCTAAAGGACAGGCACCTTCCCTGGTTTCCCCAGGGCTTGCTGAGAGTTTGAAAGCCTGCTGTCCTTTCGCATGTGCTAAATCCAGTATAAGTGCTTTTGACTGCTTGTTATGTACGTGTGGATTGAAATCATTTTTTCTTTCTTCTTCAAATATTTACTGAATTTGAATTTAGTATCGGACATCTGTGTCCCTTGTGCCTGGAGGGTTATTACTCTACTCTTGCGTGCCAGCAGTTTTGGGAGGAGTAGCGATGTGTAAGACCCTCACCCTTTCACTGAAAATCGTTTCTAGACCATGCAAACATCACAGTTTTTCTCTCACGGTGGCTCTAGCTTGTGCATAAGGTGTTTCCAAATAGGTTTCTGGAACCCTCAAAACCAGATGATTCTGTGAAATGACAGGCTGCTCCTCCCTTGAGTTAAGGGAAGGGAATCCAGGCCAAACTCAGCTCTATTCCCAAGCCACAAAGTGGTGAAAGTAATTCTCTATTCTTCCACTTACACCGGCTCTAATTCCCAGGGTAGTCTCCCCACTTAAGGACTTTGCCAACATTTCGTTCTTTAGCCTGAAAAGACCCGGGGGAGACTGGCTTATTACTTCCTTCTTCAGAGGCACTGCACAGCCTGGCAATCAAAGGAACAATCTGTAGAGAGTCTGACGGATCTAATTTTGAATCCCAACTCAGCTACTTCGTAAACATGTGATTCTGGGGCAGATTTTAAACTGCTTTCAACTTCAATTCCCTTATCTGTCAACAGGGTTAACAATAATAATGACCTTCAGGAACTGGGGTTGTGGCTCAGTGCTACAGCACTCACCTAGCATGTGCAAGGTGCTGGGTTCGATCCTCAGCACCACATAAATAAATAAATAAATAAATAAATAAATAAATAAATGTATTGTGTTCAACTACAACTAAATAGAAAATATATTTTTTTAAAAAAAATAACGACCTTCAAAGGGTCATTGGACAGATTCAATGGATTCAATCCTGAAGCACAAGGACTTTATTCACCGTTATGTCCCCAGTGCCTAGAAGAACACCTGCACATAGTAAGTGCTCAAAAAATAATTGTTGAATGAGTGCATGAAGAAGCACATATGAATCACGAAGCTCTATGTCTGCCAATAAGTGCTCAATGCTATGACTTATTCCCTGAATACATTTTATATATAAAGAAACTGAAGCCAGGTGTGTCGGCACATGCCTGTAATCCCAGACAGGAGGATGGAGAGTTCAAAGCCAGCCTCAGCAACTTAGAGAGGCACTAAGCAATTCAGTGAGACCCTGTTTCTAAATAAAATACATAAAGGGCTGGGGATATGGCTCAGTAATTTAGTGCCCCTAAGTAGTTCAATTCCTGATAGGAAAGAAAGAGAGAGAGAGAGAGAGAGAGAGAGAGAGAGAGAAAGAAACTGAGACACAGAAGTGATCTCTCTGTGGTTATGAGCCCCTAAGTAGCCACCCCATTATCTCTTACTCTGCAGCTGCTCAGCCCAGGGAGGGGTTAAGGTTAGGAATTTTCTTTTCTTTTCTTTTAATACTGAGGACTAAAATTCAGGGTCACACACATGCCAGGCACAGCACTCTACCACTGAACCACATCCCCAACCCTTTTTCTAATTTTATTTTGAGATGATGCCTCACTAAATTGTCCAGGCTGACCTCGAACTTACGATCCTCCTGCCTCAGCCTCCAGAGTACCTGGGATCACAGGCATGCGCCACTGTGCTTGGCTAAGACAGGGATTCTTATCAGCATCAAAGGACCACAAGCCTCCCGACAGAAATCTGTGAAAACCCCGTGCTTCTGCTTTTAAAATTCTATTTTGGGTTATAACTCTTTCCTGGTCTGCTGCTTTGTTGCTTCATCTTAATAAAAATGTGTTTTGAAAGAAAGTCTCTTTCCTGTGTGACTTTGGTTTGGAAGACTCTGTGACTTTGCCTTAGAGAAGGAACAAAAGTCTCTACAACCCAGAAGCTCATGGGCAGGTATGTGGACAGAGCTTCTCACTAAAACCAGCAAGAACCAACGGAAAGACACATCAGACCAAACCTCAAACTTGGGCTTGATTCTAAGTTTGCTTCCCTTTTTAAGTTCATAGAATGTGACACAAACTAAATCTCATCAAGAAACATTCTTCAGAAATCCTAAGGAAGAGGAATGTAGCTTTGTTGAAAAAGCCCTGTTTAAATTACTTGGAAGAGGAAAACTGTTGTTTTGGAGGGAAATATTTTACCCTGGTGGAGTCTTTTAGGAAGAGTTACATGAAATTGTAGAGGGTATAGAACCATATATTCCATAGGCATCATGTAGGGAAAATGAAAAATACCTTTTTTTTTTTTTTGAGGGGGGTACTGGGAATTGAACTCAGGGGCACTCAACCTCTTGCCCCTGAGCCACATCCCCAGCCTTATTTTGTATTTTATTTAGAGATAGGGTTTCACAGAATTGCTTAACACCTCGATGTTTCAGAGGCTGGCTTTGAACTTGTGATCCTCCTGCCTCAGCCTCTGGGATTACAGGTGTGCACCACCATACCTGGTCAGAGTGGGTTTATTTATTCTTTATTAAAATTAAAATTGTTGGGCTGGGATTGTGGCTCAGCGGTAAAACACTTGCCCAGCAAGAGCAAGGCCCTGGGTTCGATCCTCAGCACCACACAAAATAAAATAAAGATATTGTGTCCAAGTACAACTAAAAATAAATATTTTGAAAAAAAAAAAGGTATTGTGTTCATCTACATCTAAAAAAAAATAAAAATTTTTTTTAAAAAAAGAGAAATTATTAAGATAGTGTCTGAAGTCACACGGTGTCTGTAGGGTCTGCTTTTGATTCTCTCTGGGACACAGGGGTTAAACAAGTTGTTAAATATTCTGCAGGGAGGGCTGGGGCTGGGACTCCGTGGTAGCGCACTTGCCTAGCATGTGTGAGGCACTGGGTTTAATCCTCAGCACCACATAAAAATAAAAAAATAAAATAAAGGAATGGTGTCTATCTACAACTAAATAAAAATAATAAGGGATGGGGTTGCAGCTCAGAGGTAGAATGCTTGCCTAGCAAGCGTGAGGCACTGGGTTCAATCCTCAGCATCATAGAAAAATAAAATATAGATATTGTGTCTACCTATAACTAAAAAATAATAATGATAATAAAAACAGTCTACAGGGAGGCAGGTCAGGCGAGGCTGGGACTTGGCCCCACTGTGATCAAGCTCTGGCCTTACTTCCTTCTGATCCACAGAGGGTTCCAATATGACTCAAGACTCCATCATCACAGTGAGAACATTCGTGACTTCAGGACTGGCTCCATCATTTGCAGGGCCCAAGGCAAAATGAAAATGCGAGGACGCTTGTCTAAAAAGTAGTAAGAATTTCTAGATTAAAATAGCAGAGCTTTAAACCAAACCCCAGCCCCTCCCTAGCTCATCTATGCAGCTGGGTGCATTATCCTACTTAGTTCTTCTTTTTCAAGATTATTTGATTATTCTGGTTTGCCCTTAGGTTTCTCTTTTCTTTTCACATTAAACCCAACACTATATTTTAAAACTCTATAAAGTATTCTCCATATACTTTGTAAACTTCCCAACTCCTTTTTTTTTTTTGTGTGTGTGTGTGTGTGTGTGTTGCTGGGTACTGAACCAGGGGTGCTCTACCACTGAGCCACATCCCCAGCCCTTTTTTATTTTTTATTTTGAGACAGGGTCTCACAAAGTTGCTTAGGGCCTCACTAAGTTGCTAAGGCTGGCCTGGAACATGGAATCATTCTGCCTCGGCCTCCTGAGTTGCTGGGATCATAGGTATGTGCCATGGTGACACCCGGTAACAGTGGTTGCTTTAGGTCACTAAGTTTTGTGTCCATTTGTTACACAGCGGTAGATAACTGAAACAGGAATCCCAATGTAGTCAAAGACATGGAATAGTTAACTACTTCACCTCTCTAAGCCTTGGCATTCCAATCTGTGAAATGGGGATGATAATAAAAGCACCTCTCTCACAGGGTTTTTGTGAAGATTAAATAAGGCCATACATGCAAATCTCTTAGTACAATGCCTGGCACACAGCCTGTAGTTGACAAATGATAGCTAGTTTTTAAGTGGCTGTTGTGTTTGTTTTTGCAGTGCTTGGGACTGAACCCAGGGCCTCATGCATGCCAGATACTTAAGTGCTCTACCACTGAGCCACACCCCCACAGCCCTATAATTTTTAATAATACCCATCTGAAGTTCTAGCTACTCAGGCAGCTACTCAGGATTCTTTCAGCCCAGGAGTCTGAGGCTGGCCTGGGCGCTACAGCAAGACCCTGTTTCAAAATAAAATTAACTGGATATGGTGGTGCGTTTCCATAATCCCAGCTACCCAGGAAGTTGAGGCAGGAGGATTGCAATTTCAGGGTCAGCCTCTGCCATGTAGTGAGATCTTGTTTCATAATAAAAAATAAAAGAAAGGCTGAGGATGTAGCATAGCAGTGAGGGGCTTACCGAGGATGCGTGAGGTTCAATTCCCAGTACTGTAAACATAAATAAGTACACACGTAAATTTAACTAAAATTTTTTTAAAAATTCAGTTCCCTGGCACACCTTAAGCTGTCAAAGAATAACCAGGAGATTCAAGTTAATTGTCAGAGTCATGGAGCTTCCGCCAAAGTCTGTGGAATCACTGTCTTAGTTCTTGTAATGATTCATCATAATAAGTTTCTGTACAGCTCATGCACAAGTAAGAAAAAAAGTCTATGAAAGAAGGACTTATGCAAGACAAAACATGCTCACTGTATGGGGGAGAACGGGAAATTCAGATTTGCATTCCGTCTGAACAGTTATGAACTTTGATTTTAAAATCATAGGCTGAAAACCGAAAGGAAGCTAGAAGGTTGTCTGACTCCTCAGTTTGCAAGAGAGGAAGCTGTGGGGTTAAGGGGTTTCCCAGTTGGTTAATGATAGAAACAAAACAAGGCTCAGCTTTTTTCCAGTCTTCCCCAATTTCCAAGGGTGACAATATTTGTTGGTCTTCTTTTTCAATTTTACCTGCGACTAACATTTTAAAAGATTACAAAATTGTAAAACCAAGGAAGGAGGATCCCTTGCAAATTCCAGCTCCCAGAAATTACTGAAAATAGTTTTCCTGACTCTTCTTATTAATAAAGGCCCTCAGGATTACTTCATAATGGTGATGTCACCCAAGTGCACACATTTATCCAAGAAGAAAATGCAATATTCCCAGGCAGCAAGGACAGGGGGAAAAATGGCCAAGTATTTCCACAGAACCTGAATACAACTGCACAATGCAACCTCAACAGAGTGCAAGCTGACAGGCGAGACGATGGCATAAGAGACACATAATGGTTAGGGACTGGATGTCAGTGCCAGATTCTAACTCAAGTTCTGGGTGGCCCTGAGTACATTTCCACCCTCTCTGAGCTTCACTTTCTCCCTTCCTTCCTTCCTTCCTTCCTTCCTTTCTTTCTTTCCTTCTTTCTGTACTGGGGATTGAACTCAAGGACACTCGACCACTGAACCACATCCCCAGCCCTATTTTGCATTTTATTTAGAGACAGGGTCCAACTGAGTTGCTTAGCTCTTTGCCATTGCTGAGGCTGGCTTTGAACTTGGGATCCTCCTATCTCAGCCTCCCAAGCTGCTAGGATTATAGGCATGCGCCACCACACCCAGCCATTTTCCCCATTTCTAAATCAGAGTCAACAACAGTCCCTCCCTCATAGACCACAGTCAGAGGATGAGATGAGACAATGTATTCAAAGCATATAGTGCATAGGTGCCACTGTCAACCCCAGTTTCATCATGACCTTCCTCTTTGAGGGTCCCTAGTCCGATGAGAGTCTAATATCAGGTCATCCTTACTCTATTTAGCTGTCAGAGGTCTATAAACCCCTGTTAGTGAACCCAAGTATGCAGCTAAAGGAATAAATCTCCAATTTCTCAAAGTAGAACACCACAATTCAGAAATCTCTTGTGCAGCAAAACTTGATAAAACCAAAGACTAAAGGGTAGAAATGTTCTGCAGGATGACACCCAATCCCACTAAAAAAGCCAAGAGGTAGTATGTGAAATGGTGTCCTTCTGCAAAGCCAAGTTCAATGACTGCTTAGGTCCTGTGGTTTTAACCCTAATTTAAAAAAAAAAAATTAGAGTTTTTAAAATATCATGTGCAGGCTGGGGCTGAGGCTCAGTGGTAGAGCACTAGCCTAGCGTGTGTGAGGCACTGGGTTCGATCCTTAGCACCACATAAAAATAAATAAATAAAATAAAGATCCATTGACAACTAAAAAAATATTTTTTAAAAAATATCATGTGCTTACGGTGGGGGTGGTGGTTATATGGTGGTGGGTGGCAGAGCATATATAAGGATTCTCCATACTTTCTATTCAATTTTGCTGTGAACCTTAAACTTCTCTAAAAAAATTAAGTTTTATTCATTATAAAAAATCACATCCTTAAAAATAAATCACTTAATTTAGCATGGAAGCATATCAAAATCTAATATAAACAAACAAGAAAAACCCAACTTAATTTAACATACCACTGGCAACCAACCTGGGCTTAAGTTTTCAAACATCTTATGAAATTTTATGCTTTCAAGTAGTATTTTTTCCCCCCTAACCAGAGATTAATTGCAGAATTCTATTGTGGAAAAGAAATTCAGGTTTTTACACAGAAGTGGCATAGGGAAAAAAAGCTCAAATTAACCCATAAAACTGGTAAAATGGCCAAAGATGGTCTTGTCAGTCTTTCCCAAAGCAATCACGTGCATGCTACCATTTTTTAAATCAGATGCATGCTAATATTTCATGCTAATTCTGAAGGATTCTGGAAAACCATACTGTTTGGCACAGGGACATTATTATTGCAATTGTTGATCTGTCAATTATGTAAACAAACCTAAGACTGTCAATTAATTTTCCAGTGCTGAGCAGTTAGTCAGGTCCATACATACAGCCTTCCAAAGGGATGTCCCCATTTTTTTTTTTTTTTTAGTAATTTGCAAATGACATTTGGCTTGCCTGAACTTATCCTTTACATTTAGAAAAATTTGTGGGTTCTTGTATGCCCAGGGGATTTTTTATTACTTGTTTATGCAAACAGCAGGTTGCATAAGAGCCAAGCTAGCCTTTTTTTTTTTTTTAAGTGATTTCGTAGTTTCCTGGTAACCATTCAGTCATCTATTTCAACACCCTGACATGACATAAAGGCAAATGCTGAACCACACGTTCACCACACACTTCTTCCTTGAGCATTCGCTAGGTGAGGCGCTCTGGAGCGGACAGACCCGATCCACCCATGAACCGGCAGCACTCGCAGAACCATTCTCTGATGATAAACAACAAGAGCTGCTGTGTGTTCCGGGACGACTTCATTGCCAATGTGCTGCCACCGGTGCTGGGGCTGGAGTTTGTGTTTGGACTCCTGGGCAATGGCCTTGCTCTGTGGATATTCTGCTTCCACCTTAAGTCCTGGAAATCCAGCCGGATCTTCCTGTTCAACTTGGCCGTGGCTGACTTTCTCCTCATCATTTGCCTGCCGTTCCTGACAGACAACTATGTGAGGAAGTGGGATTGGAAGTTTGGGGACATCCCTTGCCGGCTGATGCTCTTCATGTTGGCCATGAACCGCCAGGGCAGCATCATCTTCCTCACGGTGGTGGCCGTGGACAGGTATTTCCGGGTGGTCCATCCTCACCACTCTCTGAACAAGATCTCCAATCGGACAGCGGCCATCATCTCCTGCTTTTTGTGGGGTGTCACCATCGGCCTGACGGTTCACCTCCTCTACAAAAACATGTTGACCAAGAATGGGACCGCGAATCTGTGCAGCAGTTTTAGCATCTGCAAAACCTTCCGGTGGCACGATGCCATGTTCTTCTTGGAGTTCTTCTTACCCCTGGGCATCATCTTGTTCTGCTCTGCCAAAATCATCTGGAGCCTGCGGCAGAGACAACTGGACAAGCATGCCAAGATCAAGAGAGCCATCAACTTCATCCTGGTGGTGGCCATTGTCTTCATCATCTGCTTCCTGCCCAGCGTGGCCGTGCGCATCCGCATCTTCTGGCTCTTGTACACCTCGGGGACGCAGGACTGTGAAGTGTACCGCTCAGTTGACTTGGCCTTTTTCATCACCCTCAGCTTCACCTACATGAACAGCATGCTGGATCCACTTGTGTACTACTTCTCCAGCCCATCCTTTCCCAACTTTTTCTCCATGTTGATCAACCGCTGCCTCCGGAAGAAGACATCTGATAAGCCAGATAATAACCGCAGCACCAGCTTGGAGCTCACGCAGGACATGAGTACTACCAGGAGTGTCCCGAACGCCTTAATGGCTGACCCCAGTGAACCATAGAGCCCCTCTTCTCTGGCCCCATCCTCTCGTTAAATAACCTCACCAAGAGGTGAGGTTGTCACCAAGAACCAGGATCTCTGGAGAAACAGTTTGGATGTTGCACACTAGACCTGGCCTCAAGTTCCATGGAACTTCCAAATTCTGAGAATCAGATTTAGAGAAATGGCACGGCAGAGCCAGAGGCTCGGTTGCAAGGTGCGATCACAGAAATCTCGAGGAACGGAACGGAGAGTAAAGGCACCTGAAACTTCTGCTTCATCTCCATACTTCATCTCCATACTTAGAGAAATGGCACGGCAGAGCCGGAGGCCCGGTTGCAAGGTGCGATCACAGAAATCTCGAGGAACGGATAGTAAAGGCACTTGAAACTTCTACTTCATCTCCAAACTTCTGCTTCATCTTCATACTCCATACAATGGCTGATTGTCCATTTTCTATTGCACTGGGATGAAGCCAGGAAGCTGCCCATCGGTACTTGTGACTCGTTGGCTTCTTACCTTCCCTAGACTGAGACTTGGGTGACCCTCAGCTCCTAGTGCACTATCTAGCCTCTTCGTGAACTTCAGAGAGATAAGAAAAGTCAAGAGATTGGAGGGGAGTTATGTTGCTCCTGGAGGGGACTCAGGCATGGCTAAGCAAGCCAGCAGGTCACCTGAGTTCCATGGGCACATTCACCTTTCAGCCATGTTTTAGCAGAAATGGGCTAGGTGAAGAGATTCTTAAGCTTTGGTTAATATCTGAGTTTCCAGAGGTGGTCAGAAAGGGATTATCCCCAGGAGGGACTGAGCTGAACAGTGTTCTGAGGGATAAGGAATGGCATTTGTGCCACAACCAGTAACTAATCCATTCTTCTCTCATTTACACTAATTTGAAGATCAAGCAGTTAAAAGACTTCAGGGAAGAGAACTGCTTCCCACCTGTTTGCTTCTGTCATAAAAGGGAAATATGTGGCTGCCCCGTGGTCAGGAGGGAAGAATCCTCCTGGTTTGTTTGCTTGTGTTTCTGTACTTATAATAATATCTACCATTTTAATAAATTTTGATAGGAGACACAGTCTGGTATTGCATGTCTGGGTTATGGTTCACAGAAATCGGCTTCTTACTTAAGCAGAGACCTTTATGGGCTGTTAACTATGTCCTGGTAGGAAAAAAACATAGGGACACAGGCACTGAATTATATTATAAGACAGCTAAGTAAAAATGACCCATGTCTTGGGTCAGGAAAGGCCTGGGAAGAAATAAAAACAAATGAATCTAGAAGGGTGATGCAGAAAAGATTGCAAGAGCACCTTTTATTTAGAGTTTGTTTATTTATTTATTTAGAGTTTGGTGAGTACTGCAATTGGTATTTGTGTATTTAAAAAGGAATCAGACCAGAGTGGGATTTTTTTTCCTGTAAGAGGGGGAAGAAAGAGCTTCCTAGGGAATAGTTTCAGTTCCCTGTTCTGAGATGGAAAGGAGATGTACTGGTTTGGGTCTGTGATCCGTCCAAGTTTCTGTTACGATTTCATTTCCATATTCTGTCACTCCTTGATCAACAAGATGAGGCTTGCTGACTGGGATGCAGATAAGGAATGCAGATATGCAGACTCCTAGCCTTCTATGAATGGCAGTGAATGGAGAAAGATGGCTGGGGATATAGCTCAGTTGACAGAGTACTTGCCTTGCATGCACAAGGCCCTAGGTTCAATCCCCAGCACCACAAAAATAAAGAATGAAAGAACCACTTCAGTTATTTATATTAAAAAATAAATGAAGAAAGACACTTCTGAGTTTCTCAGAGAGGTTCATCTGTCACCAAGAATCTAATAAGTTAAAAGCAGGGATCTCTTCTTAAAGAAGAGAGAGCAGAGATGAGCTCAGAGGAAAGTCGGGACTTCCCCAGCCTCAGATATATGAGTCAGCACCAAGCCCAGTGTTGAAACTCCAGTTCTTCCAGGGGACCAGGAGGTTTGAAGTGTTTGGAACCCAACAACTCACATTCATTCATTCATTCATTCATTCAGGCGTTTCCGGTGTGCCAGGTGCGCAGGGGTGGGGATAACTGGGAGGGCCTCTAGAAGGAAGTAACCTTGAGCAGAGCCCTCAATGACAAGACGGAGCAAACAATGAGAAAATCTCAGGGAAGGACATTTGCTAATGCAAAGGCCCTGAGGTGAGAATGAGTTGGAAGTAGGTGAGTGTGTTAGTTTCCTGTGGCTGTCTTAACAGAGCACCATAAACTAGGTGGCTTAAAACAACAAAAACTCATTCTTTCACAATTCTGAAGGCCATAAGTTCAATGTCAAGGTGTCGTCAGCAGCGTGCTGCTCCTTCTGGAGGTTCTGAGGGGAATCCAGTCTGTGCCATCCTCACAACAATCTTGGGTGCTCCTTGGCATATCAGCACATCGTTCCAGTCTCTGCCGCCATCTTCACATAGCTTCTTCTCTTGGTGTCTCTCTCTCATTGACCCAGAAGTGTTTTACCACTGACCCACATCCCCTTTTTATTTTTTATTTTCAGATAGGGTCTCACTAAATTGCTTAGGGCCTCCCCAATTTGATGAGGCTGTCCTTGAACTTGTGATCCTCCTATCTCAGCCTCCTGAGTTGCTGGGGATTACAGGCATGTGCCATCACCACTCCCCACATTACAACAGTTTTTAAGAGAGTTATTCCTTAAATTAGATCTGTTTATTTGTCCAGGGGATCACTAATGTCTATTCAAAATGAGAGAAAGGGTTGGGGGTGTGGCTTGGTGATAGAACTCTTGCCTAACATCCACAAGGCCCTGAATTAAATCTCCAGGGCAGAAAAAATAAATAAATAAAATGAGATAAAATGGGAGCCAATAAGGCCACATTGGACTAAACCAATGATGCATGCACTTGGTCTTGAACTGTGGTTTTATGAGAAAAGGGAGACAGGGAAGAAACAGAAAGAATATAGTGGGCCCTTTGTATCCATGGGTTCCATCCCTGGATTTATTATTCCCTAAGCAATACAGTGTAACAATTATTCACATAGCTCTTACATCATATTAGGTGTAAGGAATCTAGCTAGACATGATTTAACATACACAGGAGGATATGTGTAGGTTCTATGCAAATATTAGACCATTTTATATAAGGGATTTGAGCATCCTCAGGTTTTGGTATCCACAGGAGTCCTGAAATCAAGCCCCTGCCAATACTTACATGTATATATGTCTGTGGAGGCACAGAGTGGGCAGTTATCATCATTTATGCATGATTTTCCTTTACCTTCTCTAAACCTGTGTTGCACTGCCTTCTTTATTTTGGTGGATACCAGTTCTGAGGATTCATGAGCTCCATGAGTTAATTGTCCTCTATGTAAGGGGCACCTTACCCCTGAGATACATCCCCAGCCCTTATTTTTTTTATTTTGAGACAAGTTTTCCATAAGTTGTCCAGGCTGGCCTTGAACTTGCCAAGGTTGGTCTTGAATTTGCAATCCACTAGAAGGACTTCCATTGAGCTGCTTCCAAATATCAAGAGACTATCCTTAAGTTTAGAACCACAAAATTGGGGATGCAAGGTCATGTTCATTCTTGATGTTGTGAGCTCCTTTACCTTCCACATTTATTAGTCTCTTCATCTGTGGGCCTTGCCTGAAGTGAGAATATTTGAATAGCACCCCGTATTCTGGTGAAGACACCTCATGGTCCTTAAAATGTCATTTGGTTTAATACCCAAAACACTTCTGAACATGATTTGGTGATCAGCTGGCCTTGCCGCAACTTCACAGATGCTCCATGACCCGCTTCTTTCAGTCCCAAACAACTGCGCTGAGATTTAGCTGACGGTGAGATTTAGCTAAGGAACATGTTCTCCAAAGTGCCTTAGACAGTGGTGGTGTCTGGTGGAATTACTAAGGCCCAGAAATGGACCATTTCCAAACAACAGGGCTCCAGGTCATTTCCAGGTTGCCCATCTTTTGGTTCAAATTGGTGTGTCTTCAAATCAGATCTTGAATTATGATGAAAAAAAACTTTTTTTTTTTTTTTTTGTACAAGGGATTGAATCCAGGTTCTACCACTGAGCCCCAGCCCCAGCCCTTTCTTTCTTTCTTTCTTTTCTTTTTTTTTTTTTATTAAAGATAGCATATCACTAAGTTACTTAGGCCTTCATTAAATTGCTGAGGCTGACTTTGAACTTGTGATCTTCCTGCTTCTGTCTCCTGAGTTGCAGGGATTACAAACCTGCACCAAGGCAACTGACTGAATGAAATTCTTAGATGGTTGAAGCCGGAGCTGTTTGTGTTGTACCAAACTTCCCAAAAAGGAAATTCTTTTTTTTTTTTTTCCCTTCTCATGATAGTGAGAAGATGTCATTATAATTGTTTCATGCAAGGTCCTTGTGCTTGCAAGTAACTGAAATACCCTTTGGATTAGCGTAAGCAAAAAATTAAAAATAGAAAGAGAGGAAGGAAGCTGGAGAAAGTGGTGGTTCTCCCAGAACCTGGGAGAATTAAACTGGGCTTGAGCAACTCTGAGAAAGCATCATGTGGTCGTCCCCAAGCTCTTAGCTATGAACAGACTCAGCCTCGGGACATCTGCATCACTCAGGTCCCATATGAGAGAAATGGCTTTTCATCTTGCAGGGAATTGAATTCAAGGCCTTGCACATGGTAGGCAAGTGCTCTGTCACTGAGCTACACCCCAGCCCTGGTTTTCACTTTTTTTCTGAGGGGGGGTTACTGAGGATTGAACTCAGAGGCACTCAACCACTGAACCATATCCCCAGTCCTATTTTTTATTTTATTTAGAGACAGGGTCTCATCGAGTTGCTTAGTGCCTCACTGTTGCTGAGGCTGGCTTTGAAATCGTGATTCTCCTGCCTCAGCCTCCTGAGCCACTGGGATGACAGGTGTGCACTATCATACCCAGCTAGGTGAGTACTCCACCAACTGAGCTATATCCCCAGTCCCTGGTTTTCACATTTCATTGGGGGAAACCAGGGAGGGTTTCCTCCCCATCAACAGAAGTGGTCACCCTTCTTCAACCACTCCACTGGGGCTTCTGGGAATGTTCTATTACCTGGAAAAGTCACTAGGGGTGGGGCCCAGGGGCCCATGATGATATCCTTGGTGTAGACACTAAGTGGTAGTGGAACAAAAGGATGGCTCCGGATGGACAGGATCAGCACTGGCCCCTTGGCCCCATCATTTGTAGGGAAGAGGATCTCAGGGTCATCTTGGTCCTGCCAGTGGCATAAAGGGTATTTTTATTTTTATTTTATTATTATTTTAGGGACAGGGGATTGAGCCCAGCGGCGCTTGACCATTGACCTCATGTGATTTTTTTTTTTTTTTGAGACAAGACCTCACTAATCTGCTGAAGCTGGCATTGAACCTGCAATCCTCCTGCCTCCGTCTCCCAAGTTGCTGGGATATAGGCATCTACCATTGTGCCTGTCTATAAAAAGGTGTTTTTAACAACTTTTTGCACAGCTACATTCTCTCTGCCAGGTGTTCCTCAGGTAATATTTCAAGTTGCCCTTCAAACACTAGCATGTTTCGACCTTCAGCAGAGCCACTCTCTGACTTCCAAATTTTCTGCCATGTTACAAACTATGGTCTTCCTGATTACAGAGAGGCCATCAATCAATCTTCAGGGGCTATGTGGTTCTCACTGACCTAAATCCATTCATGCTCCTCTAGATTTGTGTTCTAGAGCCCTTCAGCCAGCCTTCCTGGGAATGAAAGGCTTTGTTATGCTATACATTTTTCAGTAAACTCAGGGCAAAGAAATACTCTTTGGCAAGTGTAGCTGAAGTGAGTACCTGGTCATGAAGTTTCTTTCACTGTTTCTTGACTTATTTACTTTATTTATTTATTTATTTATTGGCATCAGGGATTAAACCCAGAGACACTTAACCACAGAGCCACATTCCCAACCCTTTTTATTTTTTATTTTGAGACAGGGTCTCACTAAGTTGCTTATAGCCTCGCTGGGATTTCAGGCATGCATCCTCATGCCCAGCTTGTTTCCTGTCTTTGATGGACAAAAGGCACATTATTCTGCAGTCAGTGCAAGATTCT